GTCGTCGTCGTCGTTCGTCGTCGTCGTCGTCGTCGTCGTCGTCGTCGTGGTCGTCGTCGTCGTGGTCATCGTGGTCGTTCGTCGTCGTCGTCGTCGTCGTCGTCGTCGTCGTCGTCGTTCGTCGTCGTCGTCGTCGTCGTCTTCGTCGTCGTCGTCGTCGTCGTCGTCGTCGTGGTCGATGTCCTCTTGGACGCCCCCGCTGGGCGGCTGCACAGGAGCGCGCCGACCTCGAGCGCGCCGCCCGCGTCGACGCGGAGCGCGGGCGCCTGGCAGCAGAGGGGGCAGAGGCGCAGCTTTCGGGCGCCGCGCCCAGCGCGAGCGGCCGCCCTGCCCCCCCCGCTATTAGGAAGGGGGGAAGGCCAGGGGAGGGGGAGGAGGAGGGAGGAGGAGGAGGGAGGAGGACAGAGGAGGAGTAGGAGTAGGAGGAGGAGGAGGAGGAGGAGGAGGACCCCCTCCCCCTCCAATTTGTGGTGGTGGTGGTGATGGAGAACAGGCCCATCGCTTCCGAGCCGTGGCACCTGGGCATTGTGAGAGCTCGGCACGGCCCTTCTCGCCCCTTTCTCGGGCATCGGGAAAGGGGGGTTACGAAATCTGCTGCGTTCAGCTGGTTTCGGCCCCGCCGCCAGGCCCATTCCTCGATACATGGGCGCCTCCCAGCGCCGGGAGGCGCTGGGAAAATCAGCTACGTGAGCTGAGTCTCTGCCCTACCCTTTGCTATCCCGCCCTGTCGTTCCTCCCGAGAAGCCCAGGTTCTGTCAGCCTCCCCCCGAAGTTGGGTATTGGCCAGGTTGGTCAGGGATTTGTCCTGGGGCCGGGGGCAACCCCGAACCAAGCCTGGATCGCCCCCTTCTCCTCAGTCTGACTTGGATGTCGCTGCTCCTTGCCCTGCGTCGGCATCGGTCTCGTCGTCGTTGTCGTCGGCACCGTCGTCGTCGGTGTCGGCGTCGTGGTCGTCCGTTGTCGGCGGCGGCGGCAGCGTTGGCGCCGCCGCCGCCGTCGCCGTCGCCGTCGTCGTCGTCATCGTCGTCGTCATCGTCATCGTCCGTCCGTCCGTCCGTCCGGTCCGTCTTTCGTCGGCGAATATTCACTTCTCAAGAAAATTATTGTTGATCTACGGAAGTGGTTCCGCGCGCTCTCGCCTCGACGCTGGCTACATTTTCTCTGAAAATGAGGCTCCCGCGCGAGCGTTTGCTTGAGTGTAAATGTGGGCCCTTGGAGGCCCAGTGACAACGACAACGGCTTCCGCTCGATACTTTCTCACAGTTTACACCGAGACACACTGGCCAGAGCGGTCCCCGAACTCTGGAACGGCGCTCGCGGTTGAGAGTTCCTCGCAATTCAGTCAAGTTGGCGGAGGCCCAGCCACGACGCCAAGGGCTCCTGTTCGATACTTCTTCATGATTTACTCCGAGAGCCCCTGGCCAGGAAGCTTCTCGAATTCAGGAACGGCGCTCTTGCTCGAGATTTTTTCGTGATTCAGTCAAACTGGAGGAAGCCCAACTATGACGACAAGGGCTCTCGTTCGATATTTCTTCAAGATGTATTCGCAAATGCCCTTTCCAGAACTTAAGAGTGGCGCTCTCGCTCGAGATTTTCTTGTAATTCAGGCATGTTCGTGGAGGCCCAGACGTGGCGAGAAGGGTTCCCGTTCGACACTTCTCTATATGCATTCCGAGAGCCCCTGGCGAGAGAGGCCCCCGAATTCAGGAATGGCGTTCTCGCTCGAGAGTTCCTCGCACTTCAGTCAGTGGCCCACAAGGAAGATATTCCACCCGAGAGTGGGTTCAATCGAAGACGAAGTGGGCGGGTATCGAGGGATGGGGTATACACAATGAAACACGCGTGCCAGAAAGAGCGATCAGTCTTAAAATGATCGTCGTTTTGTCGTCGTCGTCGTCGTCGTCGTCGTCGTCGTCGTCGTCGTCGTTGTCTCCTTCGTCGTCGTCGTCGTCGTCATCGTCGTCCGCCGTCCTCTGTCGGCGTCCCTGTCGACGTCGCCGTCGTCGGCGTCTTGATCGTTCGTCGTCGTCGTCGTTGTTGTTATTGTTGTCGGCGTCGACGTCGGCGCCGGCATCGTGGTCGTTCGTCGTCGGCGGTGTCGACATCGTTTTCGTTGTCGCCTCCTTGCTGCCGCTGTCTACTCCTGCTACTGATCCTCTTGTGAGGATCTGGGATCCAGGCCGGGGTTCTCTGGAAGTCTTTCGCCAATCCAGGGGCTGCTGGGGGGTGCCCTCGTCGCCACGGCTGGGCCAGGCTTGAAATCCTGGCCATAGCGCACCCCACAACAAGTCGGGGTCGGTTCTGTGGCAGCAGGGCGCGAGGGACGCTTTTTTGTCGATCTCGGCACGACTGAGTAGAAAGACGTCTTGTGTCCGACCAAGGCACGTTGCGTGTCGAGTGCTGTGTGCTGTGTGCTGTGTGCTGCCCCCCCTCTCTGCAGGCGCACGTCCGCAGGACGTGCCACGCTGGTGCTAACAATCGCCCAGGAGTCGGCCGCGGC